CAAAACACGTGGTGACAGTATTTTAAGACGCTTGGTTGCGTGCTGGACAGATAAGTCGCTTAATTTTCAATCCTTTCTGGAGTCTTCAGTTGGCACAAATGTTGCACAAGTGATTGCACTGGCCGAGGCACCCAGCGATCTCTCCCAGGAGGACAAGAACGGTTGCAAATAGGGCAAATAGGTTGGACCATTGCTAGTAGTTTGGAGGCCATAGCTGTTAGGTTGGAGGCCATCGCTCTTAGGTCGGAGACCATCACTCTTAGGTTGGAGGCCATCGCTCTTAGGTCGGAGACCATCGCTCTGAGGTCGGAGGCCATCGCTCTTAGGTTGGAGGCCATCGCTAGTAGGTTGGAGGCCATCGCTAGTAGGTTGGAGGCCATCGCTAGTAGGTTGGAGGCCATCGCTCTTAGGTTGGAGGCCAGCACTCTTAGGTTGGAGGCCATCGCTCTTTTGTTGGAGGCCATCGCTCTTAGGTCGGAGACCATGGCTCTTAGGTTGGAGGCCATCGCTCTTAGGTTGGAGGCCATCGGTCTTAGGTCGGAGACCATCACTCTTAGGTTGGAGGCCATCGCTCTTAGGTCGGAGACATTCGCTCTGAGGTTGGAGGCCATCGCTCTTAGGTTGGAGGCCATTGCTTTTAGGTTCCTTTTTGCTTACATGTTGGTAGTTTAACTCCTTGTGGGAAGCTTGGAACCAGTCAACATGTTTCAGGTCACAAACTACATCCAAGTATCCCATTCCTCTCTGGAATGAGGTATATATTACATCTCTTGTTTTGTCTCTTGAGTCTTGGTAAAGCACTGGTAGAGCAATATTTTGTCACTTTGAGCATGAAGGGATTTGCGTTCACAACGGAGTAGTTGTCAGGCTTTGTCTATTCAGGGTCTTTGACGTAGTTGACTCGGACACATGCAAAGTCATTTTCATGTCACGTTCTAGAATGTTTTTTGAGAGCATGTTCTCACAACTCACATGAAATGAAGCATGCAAAGGACGTGTGTCGCATTTGAATGAACGTCCTTTTCTTACATACTTTTTCTGTCTCTTTTAGACATTCTTGTATCTTTTCTGGTTGTTCGCAAGTCAGCACTTCAGCAGCTCAAGGGGTTTTAAAGGAATGAAGGAGGGAGAGAGGGAGAAAGACGGATCTCTCTTTTCAAGCTTTCTGACGATCCTTAGACAAATTCTTGCTTGGCTTGCTTTACAGTCTACCTAAGACCCGGCCATGTTTATTTGTAAATAGTGGACTGCGTTCTGAATTTTCTCTTCCCCCGCTTCAAGAAACGCTGATCAATGCCCAAAACCTTGCTGACCTTGCGAAATCGTTTCTTTCGTCTTCTTCATTCTTCTCCTTTCTTCCTACTGTGTCTTACTGTCTTCCTTGTTTCCTTTCCTTTCTTTGCCTGCTTTGTTTTTTGCTCCCCGTTGACACACTTTGGCTTCACTCGTCTTCAATTTTATTGTTGTTCTCTGCTATTTGAAGCATTTCTCTTGTGCTTCCAATTCGAGAAGGTTTCTTCAGCATGGTGCTGAAACTTCTCACTACCTTTTGCTCTTTTGCAACTGCTTCGTGGAATTGCCTGCCTTTTGTAATGCTTTTTGCTAGGAGCAAGTATGGTGCAATTCAAAAATACAAAAAGCCGAGTGTGCAAAAACTTCAGGAAGGGACAGACAAAAACAATGCAGTTTTTTAATGCTCCTACAGTAATGGCTGCAGAACCTGCAGCAACCGGGATCCAACTTCTGCTGGGAGGAAGTGGACGCGATCAACCAATGCTTTGTGCGTGCCCCAGTTTTGCAACTTTCTTTTTTCTTTCAGAGTATCAAGCTGTTGAGGTCAATCGTATTGTCAAACAGCATATCAGGTCTGGAGGGGGTTGATCATGGCATTATGGAGGTCAAGGGATTGCTGCCTTTTGAGCTCCAATGAGTATCTGTCAAGCAACCAGAAGTGACAGGCTTCTGGGCTGTGTCACCTGCTACAATACTTGCTTGTAATGTCACCTCCCCGAGAAAGAGGACTATCAGTAACATTGGGTGCAGGTACAGTGGACGGGGGAGGCGGTTGGGCACTTCTTTTTGCAGCACACGAGTTTCAATGATAGAAAGGAAGAAGAAAAGGAACAAAGAAAGGCATAGTGGTCGGAGGAAACAAGAAAAGGATGACCAGAAGACAGGAATAGGCCGAAAAAAAGCCAAAGGAAGACAGAGAACAAAATCACAAATGGCGTTCTAGCTACTGAGTGTGGCTA